GTAATCAATCTTATCAAACAGGTATGGAGTGCATACCTAGCTCATATGGCAATAATTGGCTTTATTTTTTTAAATTGGGAAGAAATTACAGGAGTGATCTAGCTTCCTACGGCATCCCCTGACCAAGAGCATGACCAAGCTTGACAAACTCTTAATATGTTAATTACAATGTAGCCAGTACCCTTCAGTTTCATGTGAACTAAAATCTACATTTCTCTAGCTGCTTTCATTAATTGATTTAATTAAAAATTTATGTATCAAATATAATGTTATTTTGGCACTTGGCTAGACATGAAAAAAGAATTTACATGCATACATGAAAACAGTCATGCAAAAAGTTAAGGAGAGAAAATATAAACAGGATCTAGGTACACAGAACAGATGCAGGTAGACAGAGAGGGAAAGAAAAAGAGAAGTATTAAAAGATTGAGAGAGACAGCTTTTTCTTAGGATATCAACAGTTAAAGAATACTTTGCCACTTCTTCTCTGGAAGTCTACTTATCAAACTTCCTGTATATAAGTCTAAATGGCTTAATTTTCTATTTATGAGAATACTGATGCTCTTTTCTCTACATTTGTTTTTATTTCCTCAACTGTCTGGAAAAGTGCAACAGGAAGGGATTATGACCCCTATTCTACAGACAGAAAAACAGAGACACTTAAGCAATTTATCATTTTACTTTATTTGCATATATACAGTAGTGACAAGATAGTTCATGTTTGCAAAATAAGTGTGATACAAAAAAGAAAAGAATTAACAAATGAAGAGAGGCTGTAATTTCAGAAGGAAAAGGTAAGACTCATTATTTACCATGACCTGACAATGAAAACAATATCTAGGGTGTGGCCTATTCAAACCAGCAAATCCAGGCAGCAGTGCCATGATGTTTTGAAGACAAGAGGACAGTAGGAAAAAACAAAAACAAACAAACAAAATAAACACCTCCCAACGTTTCCTGTGATTGGCTCTGCCTATATAAACTCTGTAGCACTGAGCATGCAGGACCTTTAGTAAGTAAACAATACACTGCATCATTTAACGTGTCTAATGATAATAATTACCTTTTATTCAACTCCTATTACCTACTAGGCATCATGGTTGCTAAATGTCATGTGCATATAATCTTTTAATTCTCTCAAAAGTCTTGCAACATGGGTGTTATAATTTCATTTTACAGATAAAGATCACAAAGCACTGATAAAAAGGTCAGCTGTTATAGTCATTGTTGACCCAGACTCGCTATAAACTAGGAGATCCTGACTCCAGGGTGGAGTTCGGTCACTATATTCCTGGAGAACAAGGGATAGTCAATCATTGTGCTCTAAGATAAATGTGCTATGTAAGACCAAGCTATTCTGAAGGAAGGGTGGCCTTTCCTATGCCTCTGAAATTATAACACAGAATGGATTCTTACTGAAATGGGTGCCCATGCAGAGGTAAAATCTGAATAGTATTGAAGACTTGTTCAACCACACCCACCTCCTGCCTCATACTCCTCTCCCATTCATGCCCAGTTGAGGGTCACTGTTCTAAAAGGTCTTAAAACCTAGAGCAGGGAGGAAAACAATAAGTAAAGGTCAAGTTATTTTTAATAATCAGAAGTGGGGAAAGGAAAAACACAGTCTTCCCTGGCCCCTATATTATGTAAGAAACTGGGTTATTTAGATCTCAAATATTAGTCAGTTAATCTCAAGCAGTCTGTGAAGTAAAGTTTATTGTTCTCCTATGATTTGAAATACTTAGAATTTTTAAAATGGAAATAATCTTAAAAGACTGAGTGATATTACACAATTTTTTTTAAGTTAGAAGCAAATATATTTGCATTTTAGATAGGTTAGGTTTGGTATTCTATAATTTAAAAACTCCTCAGAAACAGAAAACAGCTATTCTATAATTTAAAACCTCAGAAACAGAAAACAGCTCATTGAACTTTTATTGTATGGATCTCCAAATTGTAACACTGGTCTAGCAAAGGTCTCTGAAAGCACAGGAAAGGCTAGCTAGTTGGACTAGGGAGGCTGCACATTCATTTTAAATAAAACAGAGAAAATTCTTACTTGCAAATTTTTACTATGGATACCTACTGCTTTCAAGTTTCTAACCCTCTGTCACAGGAGACATTATAAAAAAATAGTTGAAATCAAATCCCTTGGAATAAGATACACCTGCTTGAGTCCTGGGATTTACCTTTCATGTGGTTGTAAGGAATTCATATGTATAACTCCCTGACCATGGTTTTCTCACTTTTATAAGAAGACTATTACGTTACAGTAGAAGTCACCCTCCTTGATGTCTTTGGAGTTGGTAGTTGATAGATTACAAATGCTACAGTTGACTCTTGAATAACACAGGTTGGAACTGTACAAGTTCACTTACATGTGAATTTTTTTCAATGACGCTTACACCGAGTGTGCCTGTCTCTCCTCCCTCTGCTTTCGCCTCTGCCAGCCCTGAGGGAACAAGACCAGTTCCTCCTCTTCCTCCTCCTCCTTGGCTTGCTCAACTTGAAAACAATTAAGATGAAGGCTTTTATGATGACCAATTTTTACTTAATAAGCAGTGGAATATTTTCTCATATAATTTTCTTAATAACATTTTCTCTTCTTAAGAATACTGTATCGTAAGAGTATGGTATATAATACATATAACTTACAGAATATGTGTTAATAAACTGTTTATGTTATCAGTAAGACTTCTGGTCAACAGTAGGCTATTAGTATTTAAGTTTTTGAGGAGTCAAAAGTTATACCCAGATTTTCTACCACATCGGGGGTGAGGACCCCTAACTCCTGTGATGTTCAAGGATCAACTGTAGTTAAAAAGGGAAACATAAAAATACATTGAAACAAATATTTTATTTTAAAAACACATGAAAGTCCAATTTTATAAATTTCCCCAATGTTTTCATGTGAGGCAAGTTCTCTCATTGAGCACGAAACTGGTGACTATCTTTTTATGTTACATAAAAACACAAAATGCACCACTTTAATAACCCTGTTATTCATTATTAAAAAGTATATGTACTTATATTGTAAAACAGAGATGGCTCAATCTATTTTATTTAGAGATGGGCTCTCCCTCCATCACCCACGTTGAAGATGATAACTCACGACACCCTCAAATTCCTGGATGCAAACAATCCTGTTGCCTCTGCCTCTTGAGGAGCTGAGATTATAGGCGCATGCTATCATGCCTGGCTTCAGTCTCTATTTTTATGATATGTCCAGTAATTTAGAGTTAAGTGTTCAAACTTAACATGACAGTGATTTTACCTATCCAATTAATTTGTTCTTCTGAAGAATTAAGTTACCCTTTTTCTTATGTCAACATTGTTCCACAGGTTTAGTTAAGTAATTAAATTATGACTATATTATTAAATTACATATAAATTATATATTGTGCAATATCTAAATTTCTTACAAATTTAATAACATGTACAAATTATATAATTTAAAATATATGTGGATTGATAGATTTACAATATTTATAAATGAAGGCTTTTGAATCTATCACAGTTTACTACTGAATTAAATTCAGGCACCTCAAAAAGTATTAAACAATAACTTCATGCAGTTATCATTAACTTTTTGAGGAAATTATGCACTTCTTTGAAAATCTTACAAGAGCCTGGGTTTTTCTTAGAAATACGAACACATTCACATATATTTAAACTATTAATATAAACATACCAAAAGTTCTAAAGACTCAACAAATTCATCCTACGGCTCCTATGGATCTACTATCCTGAATTAAAAATATTTTTTTGCCAATGTGAGAAGGAATGTCATGACTTTCTGATTAGTGTTCTGTTGTATTGAATGCTACAGAAAGAGCTGTAAACCTCTGTGGTGTTTAATGCTTTACTCGTTGGCTTCCTTATTTTGAATAAAGTTTTAAAAATTCCTCAAAACTAAATTTAGACTCAAATAGAAACAAAATAGACAAACATAAAAGATAATAAACAAAACAAAGCAAAACAAACGCATTCCAAATCAACCTGCATTTCCTGTCTACCTTAATTCAACTACAGTAGTATTCTTAACCATTAGCCACTTCACAGATTATCTGATATTTTTAACAGATGCCACAGCAGCTAAACACTAAATGCAAGTGAGCTACTCTCTAGAACTGCACAGCCTACTACCTTACCTACAAATCACATGTAGTTATTTAAATTAGAGTGGACTAAAATTAAGATTTAAAATTCATTTTTTTTTTTCAGTCAAACTAGACATACTTCCAGTGCTCAATAGCTTTATGTGACCAGTGGCTATTGTTTTGGACAGTGCAGAGAGAACACTTCCAGCACCATCAAGATTTCTAGAACACCCAATTAAATATGTCTGCTTCTACCAAGTGGTTTATATGCTTCCCTGGAATTCATTATGTTTGCTCCCAAACCAGTTTATGCCAGTTTTGCATATATTAAATTATATAATTTAATTAAATATCACATAACCAAATTGAAATATAATTGTAAAAAAAATTGAGAAATGTTCTATACCTCTAAGTTGAATATTTAGGAAAGATTTAATAAAATTCAGTCACTCGACAAAACCTATAATGCTATAGAATAACATATAGGAAAGACAATTTCAGAAGCTTAGAAAAAAATGAGAGAAAGTAGAATTCTGCTCTTAGATTTCTTTGCATTGGATTTCAACTTAAATGTGTTTTCATGAAGCAACCAAAAATTAGAAATCATAGATGATGTATTATAGGATTTATTGAAAGGGAGGATGACTATAATTTATAATCAATAACCTAAACCAAAAAAAAAAGTTCTGTTTACATAAAATTATTGGCAAATGAATATATAATCAAGTAAAAATGTAGGTTGTATTTATTCATTTTAAAGATTAATTTATTTTAAAATCTGGGTGTATTAGCTGATTAACTATTGATCCCAATTATATTAAATAAGAAGGCTTCTACGACAGACAACAAAATTGCCAATACATGTTTTTTTTACTACTAGAAACTTTTTGTTTTCATAAGTGGTTTTGTCATTTCTCTTCCACATTTAGATTCACTGGATTAAATTATATTGAAAATTTATGGACAGGAATCTGATCTAATTTCAGATTTATGTATAATTGGTCTTTTAATTATATAACATAATAAAATATAATTAACAATACCAATGTTTCTTTACTTTTGAACTCAGTTGCCTGACTGTAAGACTTTACATGGAGATGAGAATACTTGAACTTAGTGTTCATTCTTTTTAACATTTTGATTTTTCTGACTTGACAATGCTATATATTTATCCACCTATAGCACTAATTACCAGAGCATAAGAATTACAAGAATTTCATTTTTTGTACATTGAGGTTTACATGCAAATACAAACCTAAAATTATGTACTCCTACTAAGAATGTTACAATTACTACCACTACTAGTATACTTCTTTTATTAAAATGACATCAAAACAATATCACAGTTGCTAATTATTGCTTGGCCAATGAATATTTTTCATTAGTTAAATATAAGAAACTGTGTAGACTGTCATGAACCACACATATCTATTTGAAATAACAACAGCAGCATAGAAGTTGTCTTTTTAATGAACTTTATAATGACTTGAGAGTAGCAATAGATATCCCACATTATTTAGTTCAACTTTATGAAAAGATGCTGTTAGCTTTATCAAAATAACAATTTTTTTGAAATTTTGCTTTACTATCTGATACTTTCATATCAGAAAGGGAAAACTGGTTCCCCTTGGGATCCAAATTCATACTGACTAATGAGAGTTATTTTGAAATATCTTTTATTTCTTTTTTCTTTTGAGACAGTCTCGCTCTGTGGCCCAGGCTGTGTAGTGCAGTGGTACAATCTCAGGTCACTGCAATCTCTGCCTCCTGGTTCAAGCAATTCTTCTGCCTTAGCCTCCTGAGTAGCTGGGGTTACAGGTACCCACCGCCATGCCCAGCTAATTTTTTTGTATTTTTAGTAGAGACAGGATTTCACCATTTTGGTCAGGCTGATCTTGAACTCCTGACCTCAGATGATCTGCCCACCTTGGCCTCCAAAAGTGCTGGGATTATAGGCGTGAGCCATGGCACCAGGCCTATTTTGAAATATCTTAAAGGTAAATATGTCTTCTTTGGTCTACCACAGTCCCTATTACTTCCTTTTGTCTTAAAGTCTGGCTTATACCACCTGGACCCAGAGGTTATTTACATTTATGATCCCTGTGAAAACACCTTACATAATACCTTGTGTATCTCATGAAGGGCATGAACAATTGAACCTTCAAGTTAGATTTAGTTATAGTTACCATTTAACATTAATGTTCATTTTTCTAAGCAACACCTTGCTAACAGATTGAACAATATATAGTTTTTTTTTTTCTTCTTTTTGTTTAAGATACACCACCAACTGCTAGGCCATACTCTCCTCCCTTGGAGAAGTGTTCTAGAAGGAGGAGAAATATCAGAATGAAACTGGAGTAGGTAACTTCCTCTCTGTGCCTAGAAGGATGAGACTGTAATTGTACTTGGAAAAAAATAATTGAAGGGATGAGTTTATTTTCAATCATTTTAATTATATGTCTATCATATTTTAGCTTGAAGCTAAATTACTATGTTATTTGTAGCCTTTTGGAAACAAAAATCTATTCTCCAATTTCAATTAATTCATTTATTAAAAATTTGTTTAATGGCACATTAAAATTGAGTGCTAACTAAAAATCTAATGACAACCATACTAAAATATTTCTTCTTGGATAGATCTCTGAATTGGATTGAAATCTGGGCTATGTCCATAATTAGTAGATTGACCCTGACAGAATCATTAAAGAAACTGGGCTTCAGTTTGGTCATCTGGAAAATGGGCCATTTTATCTCAAGGTTTTTACCATTAATAAATCTCCATTTTATTTTTAATTTCAATAAAGCACTATTCATTGTCTATTGTGTAAAAATTCACACAAATTATACAGCTTGTGATTTACCTTCTTATATACCACATGAACATATAAAAAGTTAACAAGAAACACAGGAATATGATTGGAGTCATATAAGTACTCTAAGAGTTCAGATGAAGAGAAACAAAATTGGGATTTAAGAGATATTGGATGTAGGAGAGAAATATGATTTAATTCGCACCTTCATATAGCATAGAATACAGTTAAAAATTAAGGGACACATAAGACAATGCCAATTTTAAAAGATCAAGAATTATCATCAAACAGAGTTCACCCAAAAAGTGATATTTCTAATTTCTTTTAAATTCTAAACTTTAAACTTTAAAAGTTTGAAGAAGTCTAGTTAAATATAGAATTGCTCCATTCTATCACGCTTTTCATTTTGTTTAAAAAATTTTTGCTCATTCACCAAAAAGTTATTGAATCAATCCTATAAGCTAAACATTACGGTGGGAGCTGTGAGTTTGAAACGGACATGAGTTTCTCACATAAAGGGGCTTAGAATTATTACAAATTATAGTGATTAGCTAGTTTCCTAAATCATTTCAAATGGTATATCACACGCTTAATGAAGAGTGGCCTGCAGACCTAGACACCATTAGCAACTCCTAATACCATAATAATATATTCCAGAGAGTCTAGAAATATCTTGCACAACACAGGACCTTACTGCTGAAGCAAAGTTTATTGTAAGGTGTGTAGAGGTTCTCATCCTTGCCCATAAATGATCTAAAGTTCAACTCAAGATGACAGGCATTGATTCAATATATCTACAGTTAAAAAAGTAAAGCATGCATATTATAAGAGGTACCAAGGCAAGTCACAGTCCCTTTGGACACTTGTAATTACTACTTATAGAAGTCAGAGAAATCCCCGTGGGAATGAAAGTAGCAAGGGTCTTGAGGATTCAAAACTGGGAAATTCTATCTTAGAGAATCAGTAAAGGATTTGTAGATGAACATGATATTATCAAGTTAAAAGGCATGTTAATAACAGGTACTAGTTTTGCTTGGGCAGTAGGAATTAAAGCAAGAATAAAGTATTCTCCTGGTATATCTTTCACAAGCATTCTCAAAGGGTTTTAGAGGTGAAGCATAGGTAGTCAAGATCAGTTACCTCAGGAGTTACTCATCTACTCTGTAGCAGAGAAACTAGCCATGGGTGTGAAATAATGCTCAGGATGATGGAATCCTGGATCAGATCATTTGAGTAATCTTGAGGAATCACCTGTGCTCATTAGTCAGCATTTGATAATAGGGAATAAGAGAATCTAAATTATTATTTATAGAAAGTCACTTATTTATTCTAATAACATAGTTCATGGACTGTTGGATTGTTTTCAAAAAGACTCCGTCCAATTGCCAAGTAATGTATCTGATTCTCTCATAGTTACTTTCTCTCATTAGTTCTTATAAACGAATATCAGACTTTTCTGGTAAGCCTCAATTTATTGCTTTGTACTTGGTTTTACTTTTCTTCTCTCCTTCTCTCCCTCCCTCCCTTCCCACTCTAAAACTCTTTCCTGCTTCATCCCACAAAGCATTTGAGGTAAATCAACCAGTATGAACATAAAGATATATCCAACTTTGTGCCCCAAAATATCAAAAGAAATATTGGATAAATGAATTACGATTCACTGATATTTAATAATTTCCTGAATTGCCGTACTCTGTTACCAGATGTGAAAACCTCAGTCTACAGTTAAACCTGACCACTTAAAATTCTTAAGGGAATTCTTCAGCGTGGGTAGTTGTTTCCCCATAGCTGAACGTAAGCCCTTTATATGAACAATCTTTCCCTTTGATTTCTTAGACATAATTTAACTATTTTTAATTATTGACATTGGCAGGAGTCTTATATTTGGTTTCTTTAAAAATCCTATCAATTTGTGCTGGGCACAGTGGCTCATGCCTATAATCCTAGAACTCAGGCAAACTGCCTGAGGTCAGGAGTTTGAGACCAGCTTGGCCAACATGGTGAAACCCTGTCTCTACTAAAAATACAAAAAAATTAGCCAGGCGTGGTGGCGGGTGCCTGCAATCCCAGCTACTCAGAAGGCTGAGGCACGGGAATTTCATGAACCAGGGAGGTGGAGGTTGCAGTGAGCTGAGATTGCACCACAGCACTCCAGCCTGGGTGAAAGAGCGAGACTCCGTCTCAAACCAAACCAAACCAAACAAAAATCCTATCAATTTGTGTATTTAACATTTACCATTTGTTTGTAAATATGTAGCAAGTTACATATCCCTCATACCTGGTGTAGCAAACTTTATTACTAATCCAAGGCAAACATACAATTCTTCCATGTATTGTTCTCATCCTACAGAGTTTTAATATTTGATTCATTGGTACTAACTATATCCTCCCTGCAGATTTTTTTGTTTTTGTTTTGTGTTTTTGAGAATGGAGTCTTACTCGGTCACCCAGGCTGGAGTGCAATGGCATGATCTCAGCTCACTGCAACCCAGTAGCTGAGATTAGAGGTGTGCACCACCACACCCTGCTAATTTTGTATTTTTAGTGGAGATGGAGTTTCACCATGTTGGTCAGACTAGTCTTGAGCCCCTGACCTCAAGGGATTCACCCACCTCAGCCTCCCAAAGTGCTAGAATTATAGGTGTGAGTCACCACACCCAGTCAGATTTTTTTCTTATGATTTCTGCATGACTAACATAATAAATCATAGCTACATCCTCACCATTCTTCGGTTATTCTTCACTTATACTCCTTCACTATATCCTTAGATGATAGTATTTAAAAGAGATGGTAATTCTAACAATTCATTATAGTACTTTTATAAGATTATCCTTAAACTGCACATCTTACTTGACCTTTGTGAGGCACTTAACTCCATTACACTGTAAGAAAATGGACATTTATTGGCAATCATATTCTTTTTGACCAATCAATAGATTTGGCTTCTAAATAAGAAGTACTAGTATGGGGAGACACACATACATAGAAACACATAGGAAAGGGATCCTAGGCTCTCAAGGAAAAAACTATTTATAAAGATATAAATGTTTACCCATTTAGTTGTCCCTTTCTTTCACCTGTGGGTTGAACTGCCATCATTAGACATGGTGGTGTTTCTCTTTGCTATGGGTCACTTTCCTTTCATCTCTTCATGTATTTTTGTTTGTTTGTGTTAGGTCTATGTCTACTGACTCTTATTCATTGCTTCTTGATTAGTTCTTCACAAAGAGGAATAGTCTTTACTACTGGACACCAGTCAAATGATTTTGGTTGAAGTGATTGGTATTCACTCTCTAAGGCTCACATTTTCTCCATGTTGTGGGTAGACGTTCCTTTTTCACTACATCGTTAGCAAATTCTAGGTAATGAGATATTTTGGATGCCTGAGTATTCTAGAAAGGCCATCACCACATAGCCAGTATCTTAAGATTCATTATGTATATTTGCACCTAAACATCTTTTCAATGTATTCCATGTTTCATACTTGGAGTTTTAAATTAAAGTTCTAACATCAACAACTACTTAATCCTGTGTTTGATAGATGATCTATGTAAGATAGCATCACTACATAAATTATACCACTAACTGCTGCTAAAGTTGACAGTAAACTAACATTCCAAAGAGACACATTTACTTTGTAACATAAAGAATATTACAAGTTGCCTTTCCTTTATACAAATATATGTTCACATCCCCAAATTATACTTTATATACATATTTATTATTAATTTCTTGACATGTTTCTAGTTGCTTCTCGTTTATTCAACAGACATAGTTGTATAAAAATAAAGGGCAGGAGATGAGGGAAATATACAAAACACAAAAATCTAATTTTAAAAAATTATACTGTTAAATGAGACTTAGAATATTTAGCTAAAATCAATGCTAAAAGAAAAACAATTCATCTGGAAACAGGTATTTAAAATTCAACAGAAATATAAACTATCTAAATTTAGGATCATAAACTACCATGAACTAATTAGTAAAAATGAATTTGCTCTTTTTTAATTCTAGGTAATAAGTACTTCTTAATATTAAATTATCTGATTAGGATGAATAGACACATTTAACACAGTCAAAAATTGTCACATATATTACTGATGTGGAGCAGTCTGGTAATTAAATTTAAACAATTTTAGGAGCAATAAATAAAACTCAGGCGTTTGACCACTGCCATAATTCATTCCAATATTCAATAGAAACTCATCACAGAGTGAGGTCTTACACTCCATTCATTTATCCAATAAATATTTAGTGCTTATTATGAGTAAGGCATTGCAGGGGGGGGATACAATGAAAAATAAAGCATGGGCTTTGCCCTCAAGGGGCTTACAGTCTAGTATGGAAAAAATAAGCAAGCACATAAATAGCCATAACATAAAGTAGAAAGTGATGTGTCATAACAAAAACTCAAACAATGTGCTACGGGAGCTATTAACTCCAGAAGACTTTTTTCTTATAGTGTTTAAGCAGTCAATATAAATAGACTCATGATCAATTTGAAAATTAAGGGCTGAATTTTAATCTATAGATGATAAAAAGCTTTAATATTAACACAGTTTAAGTCACTACCCACAATTTTCTTAAAATGTTTGAACATGGAGTGACAACCCATTAGAAATACCATTTTCCCATTGTTCATAAGCAGATGCAAATGGAATAATCTAATAGGGCTGAAATGATCATTTTAATGTAATAAAGGCTCAAGTCAATGATCTAAGATACTCATGACACATTACCTTCTTGCACAGAACTTGGCTCAATCAGATTAAAGTGATGAAGAATTCCTCGATGGCTCAAGTGTGCTCCAAGGAAAGCTAGAAGGTTGTACAGTTAACTCCCAGGGTGTAACTCTAAACCATACAACCTACTACCTCAACCCGGATGCACACAGCTTCCAATGTTGCTTCAAACTCCTTATCATATCTTCAGTCAGCTCCTCCAAATATGGCAGCCATACACCTAAGAGCTTGGCAAGGATGTAGATATAATATTCTAACACTTTACCAGTAAACTGTTTCTCACAGGATTAACCTAAACATGTGGCTTTTCAGCATAGGTCACGTAAAATGTCTTCTCATATCTCTCTTGCCATAGTTCTACTAGCAATTAATATTAAAAATCAATTGCATTCAGCCTCATTTTTTCATGAGAAATAGGCTCAATAAAATCATATAAATCCAGTGGTAGTCTTTAATTTTCTTACTGAACTTGAAGGGGTACACTAACACTACAGTATGCACAGGATCTATTCAGATCTTGGTCCAAACCTTGCTACAAAGATTCAACTTTATTATGCAATTTACTGCACATGGAATCGGACTTGAGTGGCTGTGCTATAAACGCTTCCACGTTGTTGAGAATTGAAGCCTGCCTTGGAAGACAGATGACGATTAAAATATACATGAAAAACAAAGGAAAATATAATGACTTCAGAAGTATATAATCAACTGGAGTTTAACAGGAATTTACTGAACTGATTGAACGGCATTGTGTATAGCATTTTGTCAGATTACCACACTGACACAGACCCATAGAAGCGAGCTTGTGCGGTCCACTTCACCACAAGATCGGATCTACGGGTTTATGCCAATGGGCAACATCTTGCATGGGCTCCCTATTAATATAGAATTTGTTGTAAATATTTGATGCAATTAAGAGACAAAAATAATATTGATCCCTTAGTGTAAATGTTTTAAATGCTGAATTCTAAGAATGCATATTCTCCATGAAAGGCCTTCATAAATATTCGAAACTTAACACAAATTTATATGCATGAGAATTTAAAAAGTAGTCTGTTGAAAAATTTTTCACGAGTTGCTTTTGTTTCAATAGTAAATATTTTGGAATTAAACTATCCTAATTGATGACGAATTTTAAAAGAAAAAAAGAATCCATACATGCATGTATGAATTATGTAATTGTGAGGCATGAATGTGGTATTACGAGCCTATAATTAAAACCAAATTAACTATTAAATGAATTGTGCATGAGTTAGGCTGTGCTTATTTTAATTTTTATAAAAGTAGTTTAGTTAGTGGTTTCAATGAATTGGTAACATTATAACTTTCTCATAAAATAAGATCTTGTTCACTAGGTAGAGAACACAGGAAGTTATTATCAGCCTTAAATATATACATCCATGTCTATAGTTGGAATGGTGCTAAAATTTACAATATGTGGATGAGTTAATACAAAACTAAAGTAAATGGCACAATAATGGCATAATTACTAATACTCCACACTAACATCTATGCTCCAGATATATTACATGACATAACATATCTTCTTTTCTAAATAAAACATATTTAAATTTATTGTTCAAAATAGATACACTTAAAATACATAGCTACATACAACTCTCATCTGGTCAACAGGTTGGGCAAAAATAAAATGTAACTAAAATTTTTTTTAAGCCAACAGACAACAAGCAAACACACAAACAAGTAAACATAAAGCCGGCCACATGCACTCTTTTTTTAAGATTCTAAACTCAACTGCAACAAAATTATAAGTTGTACAATCATTAATCATTTCACTTACATCTATAATCATTTAGCATTTCCTAATTATATCTTTATTGTGTAAAATAATACTACATACTAATTACTTAGTGATTTTGCATATTTTGAAATAAATAAAATATGTTTTATTGACTTTATATAGCTACTGTGTTCTACATAATTTTTAACCATTATTTATTCTTAAATTGTCCTTATAATTACTAAAAACTATAGTAAATAATCAACAATCATACATTCAGTTGAAGTAAAAATATTTCAACATATATTTATAAATGCAAATGTGAAATAAAAGGCAGCATTGGATTTAGTTTTACCATAACTATAAGAACGCATATTTTGATTTCATTGTCTTTTCAGGTCACGTAAAAAAGATTAAAAAGCATGACCTTATTCCCCTCCTCCTGATTTCACTTCCCTTTATATGGTACAAAAAATACATTTTTTTATTTTCTTAAATAGCTTTCTAGTAAACCATATTGTACCTATCTTAAACGTAGGGATATACAGACATATATTCAATGGGACGCGAACTGTCCAACTGACCACAAGAAATTTTTCACAAAGGCAGGTCCTATTACACATTTTAAAATGAAAACCGTCAAAAAAAATTCAACAGCCAGACTCGTAAAGAATATGAAATGAATTCTTATAACAAACACCATCAAAAGAATGTTGTTTTTCTTTAAAATATTAAACATTAATTGCTCTTTGTTTTTTATTTTTACCTGAAATGGTTTTCTCCTATGATCACTTTCTTCACTTTTCATATCCATTTTAAGTTTTTCCCTAAAACAACCACAAAAGGAGAAATATCAGACAACTGCTATTTAGGAGGAGCATCTGAGTGGATGGTGGGAATGAGGGTAGATGATCGAGAAGAAAACATGGTATCAAAATGGGCAAAACCTTTTAAAGTATATTTTTTTAAAGGCTTGGAAGACTCATAGGGCCCCACCCAGGCCACTCATATGACATATAAAGTGGTTTCATAGTTTGCATTTACGCGTTCATTTTGGTTGGTGTTATTTTCACAGTAACAGTTTTGAAAGTGAAAGGACGATGGCTGTTAAGGAAGCGACTAGGTTTTGCACAATGAAGTAGTGAAAGCTGAAAAGAGATTTGGATTTGGCATGGAGCTTAATAAGATAATTAAGAGTGTAGAGATTAATGGCTGCTAAAATAACATTTAAAATAATGTTTTTAAACTAAAGGATCTTGAAACATGGAAACAGGTTATCAATATTAATTAAGCCTGTGAAAGTTGGTATACCATTAGCTGAGGCAGGATGAGGGAATAAGAGCTATTTTGTAAATAACTAGTGAATAATAATCAACAAAATGTTTTATTGGAACGTTATCAGTATATAGGGATTTTGTAATTTCCTGTAATTGTTCATAGAATAGCAAACACGAAGACAAAATTATTCAGTTCTATATTTCTCATTGTTTACCCTACATATTTTTAATAATAAAATATGATTTTAAAATCATAAGAGCACCAAATTTTTTTTACCAAAATATTATAACATCATTTCTCAGTATGAAAATTATAGTCTTCATTGATATATGCTGACTTTTTCAAAAGCATTCTCTTTTAAAAACATTTTCAACACATGCTTAGAAACATCTTGTATCAAAATTAAAATAACCAAATGCATCTCCTAATCCTTTCACACTGAACCAGGCAAAACTGCTTTTTCTAATAAAACGCTTAAATTGCTTAGCAATTTACTTCTACAAACAGACACAATAATTACAATGCAATGCATTTATCTGCTGAGTAATATTGCTCTGAACTTAAAACAAGTTTGTATGTACCTTTTCTATTAATATACTTAATGAATATTTCCAATGCTTTTTGCAACTGCTCTAGGACAAATACTTCTTTTAAAACGTATTTTAAAAGAGAATATTATTTCGAGAGAAGCTTTTTTTCTACCTAGCAACCGAGAACATGCTCTTTTCATTACTATTTTTGTTCTGCTGAAATCTTTGTAAATAATTGAATATAACTTCCCCAAAAGTAATCTTATTTATCAGTAATTTAATGCATATTCTAATATAATCTTTTTCTACAAGTTTAAAAAGTTTCTTTTTTCACATTTCAAATGATAAGTCACATGAAATATTTACTTTTTTACCCACTAGGTCTAAACATTCACTTTTCTTAGATAGCAAAAACTAATACTGGACACAAAAAGCACAGATACATTAATGTCCTTCCAAAACTTCTGTGTATACCCCACATAAAAACATGTATTGTCTTTTTCATAGAGATTTTTCTATGTTTACTTAAGTTTCTATTCTAATCGACATTAGAGCAAGAGAGGAAAAGGAAAAAGTTAACAAGAGTAAAGTGGGCAATGAGTTAAATAAGAGTAAATGGAAAGTTCAAGGATTCCCTTTTACATAACAGTAGTCTTTAAAAGAAAAAAAAACAACAAAAAAAGTTATACCTGATATGAAAGGTGCGATTTCACCAAGTGCAATATATTGCTAATTATGCCATATTGTTTGAAATAATAAAAATAAAGAAGGCTCATTTGGATCTATTGCCTTAAAAAGCTGCTTTACAAAGCCCGATGTCTCTGTAGTTATACAGCCAATGTTTGCTTTTTTTTGGTTTGTTTTGGTTTGGATTTTTGTTTGTTTGTTTTTGTTTTTGTTTTTGAGCAGGAGCGTCTTTTTTTTTTCCCCCAGCACTCTTGCATGTAGTAGGACAAACTCAGATTTTTTTCTTCAAGGGCGCCTGTAATTTCTTAGAAAAGGACCAGGGTGCTTGTCTTCTTTTTCCTCCTTCTCGGTATTCCAGGCACAAAGCACTGCGCAGAAGCTGCACCAATCCTTGCCGTCACTGGCAGCAGAATGGTAGAAGGTGGGAGAGACCAGGAATCCTTCCAGGCTGTGCTGACTTTAGAAATGAGGATTGCACACGTTTGTCTCCTGAACCAAAGGGGTGCAAAGGCAGGGTGCCAGTTTGCTACACTGCTGCAATGCAATGATCTCATGCTCACTGCTGCTGTCGTCCTGTTTGCCCAGTTCAAATGCCTGTTTCATTATAAACCAAAAAAAAAAAAAAAAAAAAAAAAAAAAAAAAAAAAAAAAAAAAAAAGACCCAACTACTTGGATTCTTCTACAAGCAGAAAGGGTATTAAATTAACACTTAAAAAGAAAAAAATTAGCAGTCAGAAAAGGCAAAAAAACAAAAAGCACATACAATTTTAGAATTCACTTGTTATGCCTCAATATTCTGTTATTATTTTCCTTTTTTTTCTATTTAGAGATAAGCAGCAGAATTTATCAGGCGTGAAAGGGACAGCCTCCTGGTGGCCTGCCAAAAACCCAGAATAAAGACGAAGTTGTGCTTCAAAGCTCAGTCGCTTGCTGAGTCTGGCTAAAGTCAAGTATTAAGATCCACCATTTTCTGAGCCATGTTAGAAAAGAAGAAAAAAGTCAGGACGGTTGCTGCTTTCCAAGTCTCCGTTGGCACCATCACAAAATCTCTGCTGTAAGGTCACATGATTCTCTGCCAAATGTAGAGTGCATTCCCATCAACCATTCTGCTGATACTGCGAAGGCAGCTATTGTCTCGTTTAGACCCAAAGTTCAGCCCACTCTTCATTGAATTAGCTGAAAAACGCATCACCTTTGGGGGCTGGGAGTCATGGAAACGTCTACCTGGCAAGCTGCCCACTTTTTCTGCCCATCAACCAGAGATGGAATTGTGCTGCCTAACGCAATGATGACTTGGAATGTGAAGAGTCGTCCAAAGTGAATCTGATTCTTGCAACGCCTGTTTCGTTTGCACAGAAAACTCTGGCTTCTTGTAGTTAAGGGGGGTGGGGGGAGAGGAAATCTTTCCTACCAAATGTAGCAAATAAAGGTCTGAACATGCCTACTCTGCAACTTTTTTTCCCAACACACCCAAATGGTTCTCAAACGAAAAGACTGAGAGCCCGGCAAGTTTTCTGAGTTAAAGGCATCCCTTCGTCTGTCTCCTTTTCCTTAGAAATGAATGAAATAAGCCCAGAACATTTGTTTTCGTCTCTCACTTTAAGATTTAAAAAAACGCCGAGTTTTCTTATTGCTTTTTGTTACTTTCTGATTTTATCTGGCACTGATTTTGTAATACATGGTCACAATGTCTTCTAGCAACAGTGGGGATGCATTATTGTTACAATCTCCAACAAAGTGGTCCCCTGAGAAAGCCAGTTGTCTCTTTATCCATACAAAACCCTGCAACTGGGTCCTATAGTCATCCCATCAGTACCTAGCACAGCTGCTGTACAAGTTTTCTGAGATTGACATATGTGAGAAGGGCTCTTTCTGTTTCTTCGCTGGCTACAGTTTGCCCGTGTGGCATGAAAGATGCCTTTGAAAGATGCAGGGACTGTATCAACAGCTCTTAGGTAGTAAAATGAAATGGTTCCCCCCTCCCCAATGAATTTCCATTCTAGCAGGCAATGAAAGTTCCCATGTACGAACATTTCTATACCTTATAATAAAAGTAGAGTGAATTAAATTTTTCACAATTTCCTTAAGCAGAATTTAAAGCCAGGCAGGAAAGCAAGCATGATTAGTACTGAAACCAAACATACTGAGTAGCACTAAAAAGAACAGTGTCCTTTGACTTTATTTTTTTAAATCTTCCAATAATTGCAGAATCTTTATCTAACATATGATTGTTTGCACAAATTTAATATTATATTCAGTGCCTTCCCAAAATGATGAATTAATATTGCCCCTCTTCCACATGTAAACACATACACTGCACAATACATAACAATGACTTTCAAAGATATTCAAACTGTGACTTGTCTAATAAAAACAAATCTGAAAAAAGGAAAAAGATTCAGGCATCTAGGGAACATAACCTAAAAATGATTTGTGGTTGTTTCCGTGCCATGTCCTTCAGGTGACTTTCGTTAGCAATTATAGGAGTAAATGTGCACACACACATACACACACCTGAGAACCATCATGTTTTCCTTCCCAATTGTAATTCAAAATAATGCAATTCTAAACCATAAAACGAAAATTTTCACACTTACTAAAATTAAAATTGCTTTTTTTCTAGATTGCAAAATTCTGGACAAATCTGCTAGTGTCCTGAGCACATGTTTAAAGAGTGTTTGGTAGGGACTTAAGCCCCATGCTTCAGCAAAACAAGAAAGTAGATGACCCATTCATTGAAATAAAATTTTAAGTTTCCAATTCTCATTCACTTATTCAGCAGATTATTTATGAAGTACTAGTATGTGCCAGGCCTTCTGACAGGCATAGGGGAAACACAATGAAGGAAACTGACATGACTCCCAAGTGGAAGTCATTCAGTAAGTACTTTTAAGTGAGAAAAGCTCACTACTAAACAAAAACGTTACAGGTCCTAAAAGAGACAAACTTGTCAAGAAACAAACTGATGACAGAAATTGGAAAATGTAAGTAAAATGGATATTAAAAATAAATTACAGATGGAGATGTTTTCTCTGTCTGAAGGTTTCCTTTTTAATATTACATTCATTATTAGTTTTGTGTAATTCTGTTGAATTTTCTGAGAGAATCTAATGTGAAAACTACATGCCACCCTCCCAATTAAAAACAATTTTTTTTTTTTTGAGATGGTATTTTGCTCTTGTTGCCCAGGCTGGAGTGCAGTGGTGTGATCTCGGCTCACTACAACTTCCGCCACCTGGGCTCAAGTGATTCTCCCTGCCTCAGTCTCCCAAGTAGCTGGGATTACAGGCATGCACCACCACACCTGGCTATTTAATTTTGTATTTTTAGTAGAGAAGGGTTTCTCCACGTTGATCAGGCTGGTCTCAAGCTCCTGACCTCAGGTGATCCAACCGCCTCAGCCTCCCAAAGTGCTGGGATTACAGGCCACCGTGCCTGGCCCAAAACAATTTTTAAAAATAAACGAAGTAATAGGAGACTTTCACTTCTAGAAAGATCGAGAAAATGCAGTTTTTTCTCAATCCCCTTGTTAGGTACAACTAAAATCCTGGCACATTACATATCAAACAAATTTAAGGACACCCTGAAAAGCTTAGAGAAGATGAAAAACTAGCTAGAGACTGAAGTACTCAAGGAATGATATGGATTTTTAATTTTTATCTAATACATCAAAACTTCAGAGCTGAAAAAGCCTGCAACCTAGAAATGCCAACTGGTACAGACAAAAAAACAAAGTTCCAACAAAAGCCTGTTCTCTCTAGTCAAAGAAACAAGAAAGGGGCAGCCTAGAAAGACAGAAAGCAATACCATTTTGCTCTAGTTGAACACCAGAGAAAGAATTATGGTCCCATCCCCATGCACCCCTGCAAAGACAAAGTAGAAAACACAGACACTGACCCTTGCCAGGATACTCCAACACCCTCTCCGTCCAAGACCCAGAGTACTATGAAAAAAGTCTGAGCAGGAATCTAGGAGTTTCATCCCTGTTAAGGGTTAGCAAGATTCTTCTCTTACCCGACATGCAGTGTCTATGTTGACTAAATGAACAGTCTGCATTTCCTCACCAAACTCAACAATAATGAGGCATCCATCTCCCTCTCCACTGAGGCAGTATCAGAGGAGGCTTGGTGGAGATTCAGAACATTTGAAACTGTCCAGCTGTAACAAAGCTACCCTGCTATCCCTCAACTTCTAAAGCACTGGTGAAGACCACAATAAAGTATCAACAAACTAGTCCTTTTTTCCTAGCCAGGGAGATAGCAGTGGAGGTCAGTTTGGTAGCAGAAACCAGTAGAGGTTTACTGAGGAGCATGAGCTACTTCTATCCATATCTGGCAGTAACAAGATGGCATCCCCCACCCCTGACTTTTCCCAGCTCTAGTGGTGGAAGAAGCAGCCAGATAAAACGAAGGTTTAAATAAGAACCATAGCCTCATACATAATACCTAAAATGTCCAGGTTTCAACTGAAAATCATTTGTCACACAAAGCAGAAGGGAGATCACAAACTGAATGTTTACAAGACTGTTGATAGATGTGAACATCAAGATGACAGAGGTGTCAGAATTATATCTCACAAAGATTTTAATGCCGCCATCATGAAAACACTTCAAGGAGCAATTATAAACATGGTTGAAACAAATAAAAAAGGTTAAAGTTGTGACAAAGAAATAGAAGATACAAAGAATAATCAGGCCAATATTTTATAACTGAAAAATAAAATAATTGAAATTATTAAAAACTAAAAGGATGTACTTGACAGCAGAGTGGAAAAGGCAGAAGAAAGAATCCGTGAACCGGAAGAGAGAATAATGGAAATAACTTAATTCGAACAACAGAAATAAACTATACTTAAAATGGAGACTTGGGCAACTGTGAAACTGTAACAAGAAATAAAACATTTGTATCTGTGTCACTAGCATCCCAGAAAGAGAGGAGAAAAAGGGCATTGCTTAAAATATCCTCAAAGATACAGTGGCTATAGTGGCTGGAAACTTCCAAAGTATAGCAAAGAAGACACAGTCAAGAAGCTGAGCAAACCACAAACAGAATAAAACCAAATAAATTTATAACAAAGCATATCACAATTAAACTTATAAAAACTAAAACAAAGACGGAATCTTGAAGAGAGCAGGAGAAAAACACGGTCTTACCTATAGGGGAAAAACGATTCGGATAGCGGGTTTCTCATCAGAAACCATGAAGGCCAAAAGGAAAGAACACAACCGTTTCACTTGCTGAAAGAAAAGAACTATCAACCCAGAGTTTTATACGCATAGAATATACCCTTTAGAAATGAAAGGGAAAGCAAAACATTGTTAAAGAAAACTACAATAATTTTCTTTTCTTTCTTTCTTTCTTTTTTCCCATTTATTTATTTTATTGCATTTTAGGTTTGGTGGTACATGTGAAGAACATGCAAGATTGTTGCATAGGTACACACGTGGCAGTGTGATTTGCTGCCTTCCTCCCCATCACCTACATCTGGCATCACACCCCTTGCTCTCTCTCCCCAGCTCCCCACCCCCCACCTAGAGGAAAATATATAGCAATAAGTGCCCACAGGAGAAGCAAGGAGAGATCAAAAATTGACACCCTTTCGTCAAAACTGAAAGAGCTAGAGGAGCAAGATCAAAAAAAACTCAAAGTCTAGCAGAAGACAAGAAATAGCTAAGATCAGAGCAGAACTGAAGGAGATAGAGACACAAAAAAGCCTTCAAAAAAGAATAATTTTCAATTATCAGGCTTAACCTGACAGAATGGCTAAGGAAGTTGTCTAAACAGACTGGAAATGACAAAAGAAGGAATCTTCTGACTTTAGAAAGGAAGAAAGAATTTAGTACATATAAATATGGGTAAATAGAATAGACTTTCCTTTTCTGGAGTTTTCCAAATTATGTTTAATTGTGGAAACATAAACAGAGCACAGTTTGGTATAGTTCTAAATGCAAGTGAAGGAAATATGTAAGACAATTATATTATAAATGGGTAAGAATAAAGGTACAAAAAGTAGGTAAGATTTTTTAACTACTTGAAATGGTGAAACGAAGATACCAGTAGACTGTGATAAGTTATGTATATGTAACATATAAAGCAACCACTAAAATATTACATAAATAAATTTAGTAAAAAAATTTCTAGATATGTCAACATTCTAAAAATGTTAAAATTTGTTCAAGTATCCCACAAAAAAGGCAGAAGAAAAAACTCAGAGAAATAAAAAACAGAAAGAACAAACAGAAAAGAAACATTTAAATGGCAGGTTTAAATCATACAAATAAGCTATGGAATTAAATGTTAATTGTTTGAATACACCAATGAAAAGGCAGAGATTAGCATAGTGGATTTAAAAACCATGACCCACGGATGAATCTGGAAACCATCATTCTCAGAAAATTGACACAAGAACAGAAAACCAAATACCACATGTTCCGGATCATAGGTGGGTGTTGAACAATGAGAACACATGAGCACAGGGAGGGGAGCGTCACAAACTGGGGTCTGTTGGGGGAGCTAAGAGAGGGACAGTGCGGGGTGGGAAGGTTTGGGAAGGAGAAGGGAGGGGAGAAATATCAGATATAGGTGACAGGGGGATGGGGGCAGCAAACCAGCATGCCATGTATGTACCTATGCAACAGTCCTTCATGTTCTGCACATGTACCCCAGAACCTAAAGTACGTAAAAAAATAAAAACTGTGGGCCAATTATACGCTACTTACAATAAAACTTTAGATATAATAATATAAACAGGTTGAAAGTAAAATGATTAAAATAAGTATGTTAGGCAAACTTTAGTTAAAAGAAAACAGGAGTGTCTTTAACAATATCAAATAAAATAGACTTCCAAGCACAGAAAATTACCAGAGACACAAGTAGACATTAGACAATGATATAAGAAACAAGCCAACAAGAAGACATAGCATCTCTGAATATGTATGCACCAAGACAAAGCTTCAAAATATGTAGAGTATGAAACAGAAAAGAGAAATAGACAAGTTCACATTTATAGTTGTATACTTTGACACACATCTCCCCGTAATGGACAGAACAATTAAACAAACAATTATCAAGGATACAGACTCCAACAAATCGTTCATCAACAGAATCTAGTTGACATTTATTAACCATACCACCCAACCACAGAAGAATACACATTATTTTCAAGTGCCCACAAACATATTCCAAGATAGCTCACATTATATAGCATGCAAAGCAAATCTCAACAAATTAAAAATAACTGAAATCATACAGAAAGCATTTTCAGACCACAATATATTCAAAATAGCAATCAGTAATAGAAAGGTAACAGAAATATCTCCAAATGCTTGGAAACTAATTAACATACTTTAATAAGTCAAAGAGGAAGTTTGAAGTGAAAGAAAAATAAATTGAAGTGAATGAAAATGAAAGCACAACATATCAAAATTTGTGGGATACAAGTACAGCAGTGCTCACAGTGAAAGTAATAGCAATAAATGCATAAACTAGAAAAGAGGAAAAGTCTCAAATCTATAATCAAAGCTCCAATGTCAAAAACCAAGAATAAGAAGAGCAAAATCAACCTAAAGCAGAAGAGAAAGAAAGAGCACAAGTATGCAAATGTGAAAACAGAAAAACAACAGGGAAAAATTGATGAAAAAAATGTGTGTTTGAAAAGATTAATAAAATTGGCATTTTCTCAGCAAGACTGACAAATTAAAAAATGCATACATTATCAATACCAGAAATGAAATGGGATATGACTACACATGGCAAAAGATAATATGGGAAAACTGCAAATTACACTAAACATAAATTAGGTATCTTAGATGAAATGAACCACTTCTTTAAAAACACATATTACCACAACTCAGTCAATATGAATTAGATCACTTGATTGATCCTTATAATGAGCTCTGAAATGAGTCCTATTACTATTAAGAAAACGGAAGGCCAAGCCTGATGGCTCATGCCTGTGATCCTAGTGCTTTGGGAGGCCAAGGCAGGAGGATCATTTGAGACCAGGAGTTTGAGGCCAGGCTGGGCAACATAGTGAGACACCATCTCTACAAAAACTAAAAAATAACAATTAGCTAGTTATGGTGACACACACCTGTAATCTACCTAATTAGGAGGCTAATGTGGAAGGATGGCTTGGGCCCCAGAGTTTGGGGCTGCAGTGGGCTATGATCATGCCACTGCACTC